CCGAAAGAGGCAGAGGGGAAAGAGAGGGCATTTCACACCCCCACTCTTCAGACCAGTCCCTGACACAAAGGGAGATTTGGCCGAAACAGAATGCCCCACTCCGCTTGTCTACTCTTCCCATTAGACCCTTGCTACTTCCAAGTGAGGGGATGTGGGTGGCGCTGTGGGTTAAACCACAGAGCCTAGGACTTGCTGATCAGAAGGTTGGCGGTTCGAATCCCCGCGACGGGGTGAGCTCCCGTTGCTCGGTCCCTGCTCCTGCCAACCTAGCAGTTCGAAAGCACATCAGAGTGCAAGTAGATCAATAGGTACCGCTCCGGCGGGAAGGTAAACGGCGTTTCCGTGCGCTGCTCTGGTTCGCCAGAAGCGGCTTAGTCATGCTGGCCACATGACCCGGAAGCTGTATGCCAGCTCCCTCGGCCAATGAAGCGAGATGAGCGCCACAACCCCAGAGTTGGCCATGACTGGACCTAATGGTCAGGGGTCCCTTTACCTTTACCGCTAATTGAAAAAGATATCTACGCAAAGCCTGAAGGTCCCCTGCCTTCCCACCCCTCTCTAAGGTTCCTCCCCTGGTTCCTTCCCCAGCAGCCTAAGGCTTCTTTGCTTTGTCTCCCATTGCTTCACTCTCTTCATTTTTCTTCATGTTCTGGGAGACCAGGGGGGAGCTGATCGCAGCAGGAGGGGGAGACTCCATGGCTTCTTCAGCAGCCTGCCTCTGCTTCTTGACCCCACCCTCTGCTTCTGGCTCTGAGTCTGGACTGCCCTCTACCACAGACTCTTCCTGCTCCCTAAACCCTGTTGCCTCTTCAGCTTCCAACACCTCTTCCTCCCTCTCTACCCCCTCTTCTCCCTCTGACCACTCATTGTCATCCCACCAGCAAATCTCTGGCTCTGAGTCATCTTCCCCTGGGAGGTACCCTGGGGCTTCCCTTGGGGGTTCCTCAGCTGTTGCTTCCCACTGCTCCTCTGTATCCTGCCAGTGCATGACAACCACTTAGATGCTACTAATTTACTTGCTAATTGTTTTATACCCACTCAGGACACCTACACTCATAGAAAAATTATGCCTCAGAGAGACAGAATCCATGGGTATACAATCAGGTTTAACTTTCAAAGCAATTTTTGAATATTTGACACCACAGATGAATGGCAAGAATGCCTGAAATCAAAATACTTTTCCACGGTAAAGAAATCAAAACCAAGTTTAAACAAATGGGCTTCTGATATGCACATCTAGTTTGTCTAGCCTGCCACTCATTAACACAGCTGAATTTCACCTAAGGTTTGGATCAGGTTGTTAGTTTAGGACTGGATTAAGAATCATCCTAAATTAGCTACAGCATAGCTGATCCAGCTGAATCATCGACCATCGCCGTAGCAAATATTTCTCAAGAATAAAGTGGACGACCTCTTTTCAAACAACACTGGGCTTCTTGAAAAAATTCTGCCGTTTCTACCACATTGATTGCTTCTTATCACAAGAAGGCAGTACACTGATTGTAAGCTATAGGGTAATTTACAGAATTGGTCGTCTTCTTACATGTAGGACTGAATATAATAGTCTTTACTGCACAAGAATTCAGAGGCAAAGTAGGAATGAGTTAGGAAAGATTAATGAGGGGGCCTATTTGTGTGCCTTGATTCTGTGATTGTGTTCTGTCCCTGTGCAAACAGTGACAAGTCAGAAAACACAGCGGATAGACCCAGTGATTAAAGTAGCATAGAACTCTGACAAGGTGTCTCAGTCAAATCTCTGTTCTGCAGAACCCTAAGCACCCTGAAATCACTTTGGTACTAATAAAGGAAAAGGACCCCTGGGTGGTTAAGTCCAGTCAAAGGACTTTGGAATTGTGGCATTCATCTCGCTTTCAGGCTGAGGGAGTCAGCATTTGTCCACAGACAGCTTTCTGGGTCATGTGGTCAGCATGACTAAACTGCTTCTGGCACAACGGAACACCGTGACGGAAACAAGAGTTCATGGAAATGCCATTTACCTTCCCGCCACAGCGGTACCTATTTATCTACTTGCACTGGTGTGCTTTCGAACTGCTAGGTTGGCAGGAGCTGAGACAGAGCAATGGGAGCTCACTCCGTCATGGGGATTCGAACCACCGACCTTCTGATCAGCAAGCCCAAGAGGCTTAGTGGTTTAGACCACAGTGCCACCCGGACATCTTTTAGATCACAGATGGGAATCTGTGGCTCTCTAGACATTGAGGGACTACAACTCTGCCACACACCCCCTTTAGCCATGCTGGCTGGGGTTGATGGGAGTTGGAGCACGATAGCATCTGCAAGGCCTCAGGTTCTCCACTCATAATCTAGCTCTTTTCTCTTCCCCAGTTTTCCTTCCCTAATTTATGGCTAGCAGGGGATATTAAATCCCTGTCCCATGAGAGCAGAAGTGCCTCTCGGCTTGTGCAAGGACTTCTCTGAATCCAAGCCGCAAAACAAAACCCTGTTTTTAATCACTGCTATCCAAAAGCTTCAAGAAAATAATATTTGATTACTTGGCTACTGGTGCATTCTAAAAGATCATCTGGCCATCTCGATTCCTTTTTTACACTGTCAAGATGGAATTAATAATGTACGAACTCTGCTATTTGTACAAGAAAGATGCCCTGCTCTTTCGAAACAGCTTTCCAGTTGGGATTGTGAGCTGATTGTTTGCTCTCCTGTGTCTTGGGAAGAGGGGAAGGGTTATGTTCACCCTGCCATCCAAGCAACAGTGAATAATATTGTTTGAAATTTAAAAAAAAAGGCATTGCTTGTTCTGTCCTTCATTTTCTGCATTTTCAAAATATTTTCTCGAAGAAACTTTAAGTGTCAAATACTCAGGTGCTGCAGTTTGAGTGAATAGTTACTCAAATGAACACCCCTTGTTAAGTTATTGTGGAAGTGGGGATAAGAAGTGCCGCCCCACTGGTTGGCATTCTCATTGGTGTCCCACATGTGGAGGTCTATAATAAAATAATAATAATAATAATAATAATAATAATAATAATAATAATATTTAATTTATATTCCACCCATCTGGGCTGCGTACAACATATACAAAAACACAATAAAGCATCAAACATTAAAAAAACCAAGATATCCTATATGAGCAACAAACAAACCAATAAATCAATAGAAACCAACAACAACAGTTTACAGCTATACCCAAATTAAAATAACCGCCAACCCCAACTAAACATTTAACCAACATCAGCCCAACAAAAACAAAACGGAGGAACCAAAACTAGAACCGTTCAAAACATTTAAAATCATTTTAGCCAGTTGCCCTAACCCAAGAGTTCATGCACGAGAAAATAATGTGGGGGGTTTCTAGATCTGAATAATGAATGACCTGACTTCTACCTTTTGATGATGTTATGTCCTGATGGCACATGCTTGGCGATCCTCTGATACATACTTGGTGCATATATCTTTCCCCCACTATCATATGTGCCTTGTATTATAGTGGGGACCTTCCTGTACTCATGGAAAGTCAGGGTTCTAGATTGTGTGGGGAGCTTCCACAAGTGCAGGACACTCCCCACTTTGAAGATAAGAACATAAGAAGAGCCATTCTCACAGTGGACCACCAGGTGCTTGTGGGAAGCCTGAAAACAGAACCTGAGTGCAAGTGTATTTTTCCCACCTGAGATGCCCAGCAACTGGCTTTAGGAGGTATATTGCTTCCAACAGAGGCAGAACAAAGCCCTCATAACTAGTCACTGTTCACAGCCTTATCCTTTGTGAATTTGCCTAAACCTCCTGTCAAGCCATCCATGTTGGCACGGCCACCATTGCTTCTTGTGGTGTGCAAACAAGTACTTTCTTTTGTCTGTCCTGAATGCCCCAAAGAGGGCTGCCCCACTGGTGGTGACCCAGCCTCATGGGCGTCACTATTTGCACCTTACGGCTTATGCGGGCATATGAAGGACTTTTCCTGCCTGAATTTCTCTGTTCCACATTTAGAGCCATCCAAGTATGTGACCACCAGCACATTTCATTTCCAGGAGTCTCTAATAATAATAATAATAATAATAATAATAATAATAATAATTTTTATTTATACCCTGCCCTCCCCAGACAAGGCTGAGCTCAGGGCGGCTAACAAGCAATAATAAAAACAAATTGAATGAATACAACTTTAAAACAAGATTAAAATATAACATTAAACTATTGAAACATTAAAATATTAAAATGCAGCCTCATCACAGGAGGAGAAGGAAAAAGAAAGAGGGGGAGGGAATCAAATTGGCTCCAAGCCATAGGCCAGGCAGATCAACTCTGTCTTACAGGCCCTGTGGAAGGAAATCCGATCCTGCAGGGCCCTGGTCTCATGAGACAGAGCGTTTCACCAGGCTGGAGCCAGTGCTGAAAAGGCCCTGGCTCTGGTTGAAGCTAATCTAACTTCTTTAGGGCCCGGGACCACTAGGGTGTTGCTATTTATGGATCTTAAGGTCCTCCATGGGGCATACCGGGAGAGGCGGTCCCGTAGGTACGAGGGTCCTAAGCCGTGAAGGGCTTTAAAGGTCAAAACCAGCACCTTAAATCTGACCCTGTACTCCACCGGGAGCCAGTGCAGCTGGAAAAGCACTGGGTGAATATGCTCCCATGGCAGAGACCCCGTGAGGAGCCTCGCTGCAGCATTCTGTACCCGCTGGAGTTTCTGGGACAGCTTCAAGGGCAGCCCTGCGTAGAGCGAATTACAGTAGTCAAGCCTGGAGGTGACCATCGCATGGATCACTGTGGCCAGGTCAGGGCGGGAAAGGTAAGGGACCAACTGCTTGATGCAGCGAAGGTGGAAAAATGTCGCTTGGTGAGGCAGGGCCACTGAGGGCCACTCTAGCATGGTGAGACAGGGCCACTGAGTCACCTGGGCTGCCGGGGCAGCATTTGAGTGAGGTCAGGACTGCACAGGCAGAGCCAATCCAGCACTTCCAGAGAATCATGGAATTGTAGAGTTGGAAGAGACCCTGATCTGCTCCAACCCCCTGCAATGCATCTGTTGCCCTACATGGGGTTCAAACCCGTGACCTTGAGACTGAGAGTCTCATGCTGTACCGACTGAGCTGTTCCAGCAGTCAAAAATGCCATGAAAGGATGAATCATAGGTGTCAGGAGAGTGACTCTGTGGCACCGCCCCTCTCTCGCTTCTGGCTGTAAATGCCACCAGTTTATGATGCAGGCTGTAAACAAGTCCTTCATTCCTCCTGAATTCAGTGCTATCCATCGGATGTGTGGGAAATGTACCTTGAGTCTCTTTCTCCACCTTCAGTCATGCCCCACTCTTTGTGGTTTCCTGCTTCCCAAAATGCTGTAGCCTTCCCTTTTTACAACACGTACACTGACAAAGATCCTGAAATGAAGATCAGATTCTTTCTCCGTTGCCCCCGGACACGCTTCGCATTAGTCGAGTAGAACAGAAGCACCTTAAATTTCCTTTTCGTGCCAAGCTGCTGGGGATACGCAATGAGCAATTTCCTCCAACATATTACCTGTAGGAGCTTGTTCTGAGTGAACTACGTGATGCAGGTTGATAGCAATTTGGTTCCTGGCGATGCTACTTTCAAAAATAATTCAGAGAACGGAGTAGGCTGTCAATAGCTCCCTCTTTCTAATGTACAGACATCTTTCTGGAGCTTTAGCTAAGTCTGCTCTGTTCTTCATTTAATTTCCCAACCTTCTTTTTAAACAAATTTGGACACTGCCTGTTTTTCCCCTAGAAAGTGATATAATGCCATTAATTCCTATTTAATACTACACAGTATTATTACTGTTTAATAGTAAAGCAAGTATTAGCTGGCATTGCAGGCTTAATTGCACAGGTGGGCAACCTGTGTACTTTGGCTCAGTTTCATGCCCTTGGCAGTCCTCTGTTTGAAGGTGCCCTCAGATTGAAGCACTGTCTGGTCCAAGTCCATTTTAAAGACAAAGACCCCTAAGTATGGTGAGCACATACCCTCCAAGTGTCCCTATTTTCCAGGGACAATCCCAGAATTATGGAAGCCTTAATTAATAAAAGACTTCTGACTTGATCCAGGAATGTCCCTATTTTCCCCAGTGGCACTGCCATCGCCAAGATTGAGGAGAAGGGTGGACCGGTGGTTGTCCAGTTTTTAAATAATAATTTTCATTAGTTTTAGATTGAAAGGTTGGCGGTTTGAATCCCCATGATGGAGTGAGCTCCCATTGCTCTGTCCCAGCTTCTGCCAACCTAGCGGTTCAAAAGCACACCAGTGCAAGTAGATAAATAGGTACCCCTGTGTCGGGAAGGTAAATGGTGTTTCCATGCGCTCTGCTTTTGTCATGGGTGTTCCGTTGTGCCAGAAACAGTTTAGCCATGCTGGCCACATGACCCAGAAAGCTGTCTGTGGACAAATGCCAGCTCTCTCAGCCTGAAAGCAAGATGAGTGCCACAACCCCATATACGCCTTTGACTGGACCTAACCGTCCAGGGGTCCTTTACCCCCCTTTTTTTCTCCCCAGAAGTTTTGTCCTGCAATTTCTATTATCCCTGACCATTGGCAGTGCAAGCTGGGTCTGATGCGAGCGGGAATCCAACAACATTTGAAGGGGGCATGTGGGCCACGTCTGATGTTGACAAATGAAGATGACGGGCTCTTTCTTTCCTGCCCTGCTACTAATCTTCCCAGGAACAGCTGATTGAACACTCTTGAAAGCAGAAAGCTAAACTATTTTGAACTTTGCTGTGCTCCAGCGCAGCTCTTGGAATATATTTTCTGAATCATAGAATCATAGAATCATAGAGTTGGAAGAGACCACAAGGGCCATCGAGTCCAACCCCCTGCCAAGCAGGAAACACCATCAGAGCACTCCTGACATATGGTTGTCAAGCCTCTGCTTAAAGACCTCCAAAGAAGGAGACTCTACCACACTCCTTGGCAGCAAATTCCACTGTCGAACAGCTCTTACTGTCAGGAAGTTCTTCCTAATGTTTAGGTGGAATCTTCTTTCTTGTAGTTTGGATCCATTGCTCCGTGTCCGCTTCTCTGGAGCAGCAGAAAACAACCTTTCTCCCTCCTCTATGTGACATCCTTTTATATATTTGAACATGGCTATCTATCACCCCTTAACCTCCTCTTCTCCAGGCTAAACATGCCCAGCTCCCTTAGCCGTTCCTCATAAGGCATCGTTTCCAGGCCTTTGACCATTTTGGTTGCCCTCCTCTGGACACGTTCCAGTTTGTCAGTGTCCTTCTTGAACTGTGGTGCCCAGAACTGGACACAGTACTCCAGGCGAGGTCTGACCAGAGCAGAATACAGTGGCACTATTACTTCCCTTGATCTAGATGCTATACTCCTATTGATGCAGCCCAGAATTGCATTGCATTTTAGCTGCCGCGTCACACTGTTGGCTCATGTCAAGTTTGTGGTCAACCAAGACTCCTAGATCCTTTTCACATGTACTGCTCTCAAGCCAGGTGTCACCCATCTTGTATTTGTGCCTCTCATTTTTTTTGCCCAAGTGCAATACTTTACATTTCTCCCTGTTAAAATTCATCTTGTTTGTTTTGGCCCAGTTCTCTAATCTGTCAAGGTCGTTTTGAAGTGTGATCCTGTCCTCTGGGGTGTTAGCCACCCCTCCCAGTTTGGTGTCATCTGCAAATTTGATCAGGATGCCCTTGAGTCCATCATCCAAGTCGTTGATAAAGATGTTGAATAAGACCGGGCCCAAGACAGAACCCTGTGGCACCCCACTAGTCACTCTTCTGAAGAAATCTCAAATCCTTCAATTCTGTTATACGAGCTCGGAGTTTTCTAGGTCGAAAGCAAACCTTTCTTGGGATGATTACCAAGGACTGTTTGGAAACGTTCTGCTCTAAAGGTGTTTTTTTGCACTGCGTTCCCAAACGCTTCGCTTTATGCTCCGTGATACTGATCATGAATTCACCTGCAATAAGCTAAGTGCTATTACAGTTTAGCAAACATACAGGATTGGAGCTGTTAAGTACTTAGCAAAATGGCATGTTCTGTATTCCGCCCCTATCCTATGGGCTGAAACCAATCCGAGAGGAAGTCGTTGTGGGCTACGCAAACATTCATAGCGCTTGGTTCCTTGCACTGTTTTCTTTATTTTGCTATGCCATGGCCTGGTTCAGACAGCTGTATGGAGAAAGTAATTACGAGCAGATGCAACCCAACTGCCAAGCACCACTTCCCAGGAAGGTTTCACTCTATACATTTGTACAAATACATGCAGCATAACGCTGTCACTGGCTACTGGTCCCAATGGCTCGGTTCCACCTACACCGATAGAGGAAGTATGCCTTTGAGTTCCCTTTGTTGAGAATTATAAGATAAGAGAGCGCTCTTCCGCTCAGGTCCCATTTGTGGGCTTCCCACCCCAACTGATTGGCCACTCAGAGAGTATACGGGCCTTTGGTCTGATTCAGGAAGGCTCTCTTCTTAGGTTCTTGTGGTGGCAGGTAGACTGCTTTGGGGAAGGCGTGTCATAGAGAAGAGGCCACAGTTGAGAAGACCCTCTTTCCAGTTGTTACTACCTCATTTAGGATGGAAAGGGGCACCTAGAGCATCTAAAGATGATCTGAGTGCATGAGCAGGTTGAAGCACAAGTACATCCTCCTGATGCCTGGTTGCCAAGCCTCATAGGTCTTGAAAGCAGCATTTTGAATTGTGTGCATAAAAGGGTGTGGTAGCCAGTGAAGCAGCGTAATACATTTTAAATGGTTAGCTCCAGATAATTTTTATTTCTTAAAAATAAACAAGGAATATCCGGTGTTATGTTAGAGGGGATGCCAGGGAATTATGAACAGGGAATTATGTTCACATGTGGTAGGGGTGTAAATATGCAAAATAAATAGTAAAAATGGCAACGGTTGTTTAAGGAGATAACAGAAATCACTGGGTTAAAGCTGACTGAGAGTCCAGAGGTAGCGTTATTATCAAATTACGATGGGGTGGAAGGTTTGCAGGCTGTGAAGGACTTGCTCACAAATTTATCACAAACAAGCAAACATACCCTAGGCCAACCCCAACCTCTCTCACCACCAAAAGAACACCAGCGAATAGCAAAGAGAACCTGCACAAGCAACGCTGACACAAAACCCCCCACATACATTAAGTAAAATAGAAACATTGCCACCCAACCCCAACCCCACTCACCATTCCCCCCTCCACCTCCTTCCCCCTTTTCTTCCTAATGTAACACTAATGTCTCAACAAATGAAACTGATCTGTAGAAAATGTAACTTGAAAAAGGAGACATTGCACATACTTTCGTAAATCAAGAAATCTTTAATAAAAGAAAGAAAGAAATTTATTGACAGCTGCAGGAATTATGATAGCGAGGAAGTGGAAGGGGCAAGCAGAATATAAAATGGAAGAATGGTATAAAGAGGTGTGGGATATAGCTATTAATGATAAATTAATATGTGCCATTAGGGTAAGACAGGGAATATGCAGAAGAAATTATTTTGAGGAGAGATAGAGGGTGCTTGTAGAATTTGTACTGTTAAAACGGAAGGGTGTCAACCCATCGCAAGAGGTGTTGAAATTTTGGGAGGTTGGATAGTTACAATGGAATGGTCTCGGTGGTGGGGTGCACATTTTTATTCTTATTTATTATTATTACTTTGTCAAAATAATTTTTTTTAAAAAAAAGAGTAAGAAAAAGAAACACCATCCACTCGTAAAATATCAAGGCGGTTATGTTGTGAACCAGCTCCAGTTTCAAAGGCAGCCCCATGTGCAATACATGATACAGTAGCAGTCAAAAATCAGATGATACCAAGGCATGGATAAGGGTGGTTAGGCTTTTGCTGTCTAAGGCTGGCTACAGTTTGCACACCATACTGTGGATGTGAAATGGACTTTGAAATATACTCGGAGTCGAGAGTGGATTTCATGCTCTTTATTCAGCTCATAGTGGTGAGGAGGAATGGAAGTTCCCCCAGAATGTCTGCTTTATATACATTATTTACACAGTGGGCCCCACGTGATTAGCTAATTCCGGGATTCACCTGTAGGCCAATCAGGTTGCGGATTCACTTCCACCTGGAGCTGGATTGGGTGGCTCCTGTGGATCAATCAGACTGCTGCATTCTGGGCCCTATTGTTCTAGGACCAATCAGACTGCTGCATTCTGGGCCCTATTGTTCTAGGACCAATCAGACTGCTGCCTTTTGGATCCTATTCAACTCAGTACGTAACAGACTTCTGGACACCAAAACTGCCTGAGCCTCCAGTGTCAAAAGTAGGCCTAGGAACAAGACTCCCAGACCGTGATCCTAATCCTTTATTTAAACAGATGAACCATAAACCCAGAGAAGCCTAACCTGGCCAGGACTGAGGTTCATTTTATTGGCCCTCAATATTGCATTACTGCATCCAAGAACCTCCACGGCCTTAGCTGAGTTGGGGGTAACACAGAAACAGTGCTGAGTATCACAAGCATATTGAAGACGCTGCAGCTTTTAACTGTGCACTTAATAATAAATAAATGGCAGGAAGCAGTGAGGCCAAGTGTTTAATGTAGAGCCAAGTGTTGTAGAGACATATCATGACCCAGAAGGCTGAACCCTGTTTTCATTTATTTGAATTCTCTGAATTCCTGCTTTTATATGCTTTTATACTAGTTTTATGTTTGTTTTGATGACATTGTTTATTGTATTCATGTTGGACCTCACTTAGAGATTTTTAAAATATCAAGTGCTTTAAAATAACAAAATTTGAAAAAATAATAATGAAGTAATGTCAGTTCCTCTCTATTCTTCTCTATGCCGCAGTTGTCCTTTGCGGATGAAAGAGCATAGGAGAATTTGCTGCGTTTTATGACTGGGTGGAAGAGTTTATCTCCATCTCTTGCCTGACTTAATGTGCCTTAGGGCATCTTCTCAAAGACTGACACCTTTTAGGAGCGAGTACCTGTGTCAGGAAGTGTTTGCCACGCTAGTGGCATCCTGATTCGATGTTACTAATTTGTTCGGAGTCGTGACAAAAAGCAGCAGCTGGCCCCTGACAGCTCGAACTCACATTTCTCATCTTTGCCGGTAACAAAAAGCTTGAATTGGTGTTGGGTCTCCCTTTCCTTTTCTCACTCCTCTCTCAAACCATACAATGGGCTTTACTCTGGTGGCCTGCGCTGAATCTATAGGGATATTTCTTTAATTTTCAAGTATGCTATTTGTTCTGCCACTTTCTCTGAGAAACAGAAGTGTTTTCACCCCTCTTAATGAAGGGAACTTGAATCCAGCAAGAGAAGGCTGGTCCTTCTTGTGGTTGGCCTCAAACGGAAAGAGGTAAGACAGAACGCAGCATGGAGGAAGGGAGAAGAACAGAAGGAGAAAAGAAAGGAATATTTATTCCTCTTTGTCCTGCAACTTTTCTTCCCGCACCATGATTTTTTCTCCTCACACAAAAATGCAACCCAAAAAGACAGGACCACTGTATAGCAGTGACCACTCCCCGCCCCCTGACCTACAATTGTGTCAACCATATTAAAAATACAGTGGTACCTCAGGTTACATACACTTCAGGTTACAGACTCCGCTAACCCAGAAATAGTGCTTCAGGTTAAGAACTTTGCTTCAGGATGAGAACAGAAATAGTGCTCCAGCGGCGTGGTGCAGCAGCAGGCCCCATTAGCTAAAGTGGTGCTTCAGGTTAAGAACAGTTTCAGGTTAAGAATGAACCTCCGGAACGAATTAAGTTCTTAACCCGAGGTACCACTGTAATTATTAAATATTTCTTGCCTTTCATGCCAAAGCTCTGGTGCTTTTTCTGTAAGCACTTTTAATTTCATCAATATTGAATGATTCCTCCTGCCGCCCCGTTATTTTCTTACTTGGTTTTTCTATACACAAAGCTTTTCCTCAGATGTCCTGCAGTGGCATATTAAACATCTCCAGACTTTTAAGCTACAGGAGAATGCAGTAGTCATGAACTATTCTTAATATTTATATAATTCTCCCTGTACAGACGTAAGCTTGGACCAACATTTGCTCTTTTGTGTCATTATAACTGCTATTTGCCCCCTTTTTTTTTTTTTTGGTTCTTGGCATTCGTTGTTCTCTATCACGTTAGCTTTCATAATCCCTTTCTCTCATGGCTTTTGCACCTGCCGGTGGTGCTGGATCGTAATTTATTTGCTTTGCTTGAGAGATGAAAGTAGAGGCAGCATCATGTCTCAGCGTTAAAGAAATGCAATCATTTCACTTATGTGCACATTTCCAGATTACCCTCATCTTCCTAATGGAGGTTAGGCCATCTGAACAAAGGGGGCACTGCCCCCCGATTTCTGTCTGCCCTCAGCCAGCCAGTGGGGGCCCCCCCCCAGCCACCACCAACCTGCCTTCCTGATTTTTCTTACAACCAGTTCAGAGGGCGCCACTGCCCATCAGATTCCTCTTCCTTTAGTCTGCATCCAGTGTGCTCATACCACTGGTTTATGAAGCTGTGTACACACGACATTCACCACAATCTACTTCTATCTGGTAGTTTCTGGAGAAATGCTGCATTTTGAGCGTTTCCATCCCCATCCTTCAGCCCGGACACTGAGGTCCAACTCCAAGGCCCCTGCGGCGGTACCCTCGCTGTGAGAAGCCAAGTTACAGGGAACCAGGCAGCGGGCCTTCTTCGTAGTGGCGCCCGCCCTGTGGAATGCCCTCCCATCAGGTGCCAAGGAAATGAACAACTATCTGACTTTTAGAAGACATCTAAAGGCAGCCCTGTTTAGGGAAGATTTAATGTTTGATGTTTTGTGGTGTTTTTAATATTCTGTTGGGAGCCACCCAGAGTGGCTGGGGAAACCCAGCCAGATGGGTGACGTATAAATAATAAATTGTTGTTGTTGTTGATTATGATGATGCACTTTCCATACACACAAGAATTTCCACATGACCCACAACCCTGATTACACAGGGTTCCAGGGTACATGGAAACCTCTGTGTGTATGTGCCTTTTGTGTTGAGAGAATGCATGTGGCATTCTTCTGAAGAGAGCATGAAAGGCTTCCAATAAAGGTGAGGTTTTAAGCTGAAAAATGAGCACATTTTTTTTAAAAAAACACACCATTCTGCATCTTCAAGCATTTAGCCCACTTCCCCCATGCCAGCTGAAAAGCAACAGCAGCAGCAAACGACAACAACACCCTACTGTTGTGATATAAATGGGAATGGTTATTTAATAGCACTGTGATGGCAGTGGCGTACATTTTTGTTTCTGAGCAATGGTTGAGCAATGAACGCCCACCTTAGGGTGGCATCCTCCGGTCCCTATGGTAGCGTGGCTTCTGTGCATTGATAGAAGAGGCATCTTGATAGAAGAGCTTCTCTCTTCCTTCAGGAGGCATGTTTTCTTCAGAAAGCCTCTCCTTAGCCCTGACAGCCACAATTTCCTGGATGATATCCTCTATTTCATTCGCTGTTAAGATCTCTTTCTCTGCCTTTAGATATGACGGCCCTGGAGTTGGCAGCTGCTCCCGTGAGGGTTGGAGATCCCATCCAGTATTTGGTTGGATGCCCTCTGGAGCACAAAAGTCAGACAATTGTTCCCTTTTAATTTCTGCTTTTCCCTCCTCCAAAATCCCACCTGCTAGCATTTCCTCCCCTCCCCTTTTATTCTGCTTTTGTTTCTTCTTCCCTCTATCTTCTTCATCGAAGATTTTCTGAGCCACGTCCAATATACTAATCCACTGAGGAGAGTAAGAAAACTTTCTCCATTTCTTTGAGGGCTCCTGAAAAAAGGCCAAGCACACTTTCACATATAGGGTTAACGGGAAACACTTCCATGGTCTTTATAAGCAGTTGTGATAATTTCAGGTGGAGCATATGGATGCATAAGTTTACCATTATAAATTCTGCCCCTCAACTAAAATGATCAGAAGTGACGGCTCTCTCCATTATGCTTGGCTTGTGAGTCTCCCAGGGCAACTGGTTGGTTATTCTGGGAGAAAAAGTGCCAGATGACATGGATAATTGACCTAATCAAGCCAGACATGGGCAGGTGTGGAGGACTCCCTGGTCCTGAATGGGGTACTGTGCCCCTGAAGGACCAGGTGAGCAACCTGGGAGTAATTCTGGACTCACAGCTGTCCATGGAGGCACAGGTCAGTTCTGTGTCCAGGGCAGCTGTCTACCAGCTCCAGCTGGTACGCTGGCTGAGAACCTACCTGCCTGCAAGCTGTCTCGCCAGAATAGTGCATGCTCTGGCTATCTCCCGCTTGGACTACTGCAATGCGCTCTACGTGGGCTACCTTTGAAGGTGACCCGGAAACTGCAATTAATCCAGAATGCAGAAGCAGTAATGTAGTCTAGCCCCAGCTTATTCTTAGAACAGACCAAATTAATGTCTCGCTGCTTCTGTTAATCTCACCATTAAAGGAATTACAACCCTTGGTGTTAGTTTTCCCATTTTCGCTTTCTTCAACTCCACAGCTGACTGTGATTCTTGGAGAAGACCTGCAATGAACATTGCGCAGAATTAGAAAATTGTCATTTGCTTATTTAAATGAATATTTGCAGATGCTTATGGAACAAGATTATGAAATGCAAAGCAGCATGAATATCTGTGTCTTAGATACACATAATAAAATCCATGGCTTAGATTCATATCATATCCCACTTTTCAATAGGGATGGGTGAACCTGCTAACCCCATTAGCTTGGCTCGGGATTTTTCCAAATCCCAGCTTCCCCAAATGGTCTCCTCCGTTTTCAGGATCTCGCAATTATGTAGTCCAAACCCCTGTTATTTGCATCTGAGCTTTCCCCATTGCATTTAGGCTTACCAGATCCCTACCAACTCTACTCCCTAAATGGCAACATTAACATTCCTTGCCTCATACTGGAGAAACAAGAAAATATAAGATGTTGGTTCAGGCAGGGTGGTGAAGCCAGTATACTGTTCAACTATGTACAGCTGGTTACTCAAACTAGTCATTTTACTCTCTGTAACTATTTAATTTTGTGTTTTGTGAGTTACTACTGTACTACTACTACTACTACTAACCTGCCCTTCACCCTAAGGTCCCAAGGTGGGTTACAACCAGTGCTTTTTTTCTTTAAAAAAATGTTTAGGGGTATTCTCATTTTGACTCAAGAGAATCACCATTTTATAGTTCAAATTGGGAAAAATAAATACAGTAAATGGACAAAAGTACAAAGATTCACAAAATGTTTAGGGGTGTGCGTACCCCTGGGTACCCGCAGAAAAAAGCACTGGTTACTACAATTAGAAGACAATACTAAAAACAGTTCAAAGCTATTTACAATTTAATTTACAGTAGCGTACAGTTAGGTACTTTATCACTGTCTGTAGTTGTCTCCATTTCATTTCCCTCTCACCTGAGTGTTTACATCTCCTCTCCCTCAAACAATGTGTAGATAAACCTGGAACTCAAGGTAACTCTTCGTATGTTTGATGAAATGGACTGTAGTCCACAAAAGCTGATGCCTTAATAAATTTGTTAGCTAGTCTTTCAGGTGTTGCAAGGCTCTTGGTTGTTTCAGACCCTCCAAGTGCCCCCATTTTCCAAGGACAGTCCCAGATTTACAGAAGTCATCCCGGTTTCTGATTTGATCCTGGAATGCCCCACTTTTCCTTAGGACATCCCTATTTTCATTGCAGAAATGTTGGGGGGGGTATGGAGTCATCTGACCCCCAAGCCTTCTGAAGGCAGGCCTGTATAAGGAAGTATTTTTAAATGTTTAATGTTTTATTATGCTTTCACATATGTTGGAAGCGCCCAGAGCGGCTGGAGTAACCCAGTCAGATGTGTGGGTATGAATAGGAAAATTATTATTAATAACATTATGGAATAGGACATCCCTATTTTCATCAGGGAAATGTTGGAGGGAATGTTGTATTTTGCTGCAAGAGCTGGAAATTGGCTACCCCTCTGGGGAAGTATTTCACCTTGGCATTTCAAGCCTCAAGACTGTTTGGCTTACAGCTGACTGGCTTACAACTTTGGCTTACAGCTGATTTTTCCCCTGGGCCTGCCAGAATATGATGGTTGACTAGGCTGGGGGTGTTATTGGGTTGCTGTTTTTATTTTGATTATATACTGTATTTTTCCATGTATAAGACTAGGTTTCCCCCCTAAGAAATAATGTCAAAAATTAGGGGGCGTCTTATACATGGATAGTGCTGAGGGTGGACTGGCGACTGGTTGTTGCCCCCCAAATAGGGGGCACCTTATACATGGGGGCATCTTATAAATGGAAAAATATGGTATATTGTGGTTTTATATTTTGATTTTGTTCTGTGAACCACCCTGAGACCTCCGGGTATAGGGCAATATATAAATTCAATAAATAATGGTAATAGACTCCACATTGTCAAACACCCCCCCACCCTATTGGCATGCCTAACTCAAATTACACACAAGAATTGATAAGGTTATGGTTCTACCTACTAAAGAAAGGAAGGACTGGTTCCAAGGGAGCTGACCTCTGCTCTTCATTTTCCTTCTCTTTGCTCATATGTGAATTCTGCCTTTCTGTATGCACATCGACAAAATTGATAGGTGAACGCATAAATACTGCTTTCTGACTGCAGATCAGATAATGGAGTGGAGGGTATCCATGAGGAACAGCAGACCTTTAGATTTGTGCATGAAAACACAGGAGATACACAGCGGATGCTAATGTGCCTCTGAGAAAGGGATTTTGCCTTGTTTGGAAGTACTAGGGGGGAAAGGTCAACTGTATACATTGGATCCAGACAGTGGCCTAGCGTTGGTTGCTGGCACCCGGGGCAGGCTCACACACCGGTGGAGGGGGGGACGTGTGTTAGGCAGGGGGGCGCCAGCCCAGCCCAGCCCTCACCAATGATGCTGCCAGAGTGACCCCATCCCCAACAGAGCAAAGTGGGGTCATGTTGAGCCCTCTGCCTGCCTGCTCAGGGGGGAGCCTGGCCAGCCAACGCAGCCCTTTTCAAGTAGGGATGTGAGGAACATTTTCACCTCTCTCTCCCCTCTCGCTAAGTGGCAGCAAAGCTTGGCTTCAGGAAGGAAGCCAGGTGTACAACACGGCCTTAGCTTACCAACCCCAGCTGCCCAGCCACTATATTTTACAATGTTAAAGGATGCTTGTATTGTTGTCAGCTGTTGCTATTTGTGCATGAAGAGGAAAGGTTTGCCTGGAGCTATGGCTAGGCCCATATTACTTTCTTTCTGAAAACAGTGGTACCTACCTACCGCTAACAGCAAGGGTTGCCTCCTAGGGATCTGCATGCGGTCGTTCTTCCTTCTCTTCCTCATTCTCATGAAAATCCAGTTCAGCATCTATCTATTCCTCTGTCAATGCAATAACAGATTTTTAATCTCCTTCAAAGGGGTTCAAATGGCAGTGTGGCGATCACACAGGGTCCCTGGACGTTTGACGGTCTATTGATCCCTGTGCCACCACTATGATCGCTTCCCCACTGCCACCAACCTCTTTCTCTCGGGTACACACTGAGTCCAGACAATTGTTAACATTAAACCAAATAAACAAGTTTATTTTATAAGCATTAACAAGTTTATGGTTTCAGATAATTTTTCTTGTCAGTTTCTTAACCTTAGTTTCTTTACTGGCCTATACCTTCCTAATACCTTCTAACTGATTATCCCAACTGTTTAACTGACTCCTCTTAACAGATTCTCTCACTCTCTCACATCAAACTAGCCCAACCCACAGACATATCCTCCCTCTCCCTTCTCTAACTCCAGACTGACTTCTTAACAACTCTAACTCTAACTCCTCCCCTTGGGTTCCTGTTGGCTAATCATTTTACCCTTAGTTAACCCTTTCCTTATGACCCAGTATGATGTCACACACCTAGCAGGGCAAACGCCACAGGCAGGTGCATATTTTTAAATGTTGATATGTATACATAGGTGTATGTTATCTATTACAATATTTAAGGCTACATGTTTTCATATTTGCACAAGGGGTTATTTAATTGGGCTGGTTTTTGTCACCAGGAGGAGGAAAGCATTATCTCTACCTCAAATGCCATCCCCACTCTGGGGTTGTCAGCTTATGAATTTCTGGACAGGACCCAAATGGATCAAGCAGTGAAACCTGGTGGTTCAGGGTTAGACCCAAGAGGGTCCGAGTGTGGTTAGGGGACCGAGGTTGAAAATCCCCACTCAAATCATAAATCTCACTGGAATGTCCTAATTTACCTCACAGGAATGTTGTAAGGATAAAAGGATGGAAGAGAACCCTACCCAGTGCATCCTGAACTCCTCAAAGGAAGGGATAAAACCAGAGTAAGCAAACAAACACATTTTAAAAATGGTACCTGGCACATTGAGGCAGAGCCTGGCGGAATTTGGTCAGTCATGGTAAGGGCCAAATGGAAAAAAGAAGGCATTGTTGGGCCAACTCTGGGGATTCCTGGCTTTTCAGACCTACTATTGGTTCCCTATCAGAACGTAGTTTTAGTGGTTGGACAGACTAGATAACAAATGAATGCTTAGCAGCCAAAACCCTCCTACTGATGCAAGCGTCTGAGAAGCATTACCGTGCAACACCTACACATGTTCTCTCTGATACTTCTGCAATCATGAGAGCTACACTCCTGTATTATTACTTTTTTTTTTAAGGGGCAACCCACAAATTGTGGGACCATGGCCTCCTTCTCCTTGCAGCCAAATGAAATATGCAGACATGCCAGTTGACTTAATGAGTGCAATGTTCAAAGTGCTGGTTTTGACCTATAAAGCCTTAAACGGCTCAGGATCACAGTACCTCAAGGACCTCCTCTTTCCATATGAACCTACCCGGACCCTGAGATCATCTTCTGAGGCCCTTCTTTGTGTGCCTCCTCCTTGAGAGGTCCAGAGGATGGCAACACGAGAACGGGGCCTTCTCTGCAGTGGCTCCCCATCTGTGGGATGCTCTCCCCAGGGAAGTTCGCCTGGTGCCTTCATTATATACCTTTAGGTGCCAGGCAAAAAGGCTCCTTTTTAACCAGGCCTTTGGTTGACCTGATTGACATCCTATACCCTTTTAAAATGTGGCTCTTTTTTTGGGGGGGGGTGTTATTGGGTTATTGTTGTTATTTTGATTTTAGATGTTGCGATCTTTTCTGTGAACTGCCCTGAGACCTCCGGGTATAGGGTGGTATATTAATACAGTGGTACCTTGGGTTACAGGGATGCGGGTGGCGCTGTGGGTTAAACCACAGAGCCTAGGACTTGCGGATCAGAAGGTTGGCGGTTTAAATCCCCGCGATGGGGTGAGCTCCCGTTGCTCAGTCCCAGCTCCTGCCAACCTAGCAGTTCGAAAGCACATCAAAGTGCAAGTAGATAAATAGGTACCGCTCTGGCACGAAGGTAAACGGCGTTTCCGTGTGCTGCTCTGGTTCACCAGAAGCGGCTTAGTCATGCTGGCCACATGATCCGGAAGCTGTACGCCGGCTCCCTCGGCCAATAAAGCGAGATGAGCTCCGCAACCCCAGAGTCGGTCACAACAGACTCCGCTAACCCAGAAATAGTGCTTCAGGTTAATAACTTTGCTTCAAGATGAGAACAGAAATCGCGCTGCGGCGGTGCGGCAGCAGCAGGAGGCCCCATTAGTGCTGCTTCAGGTTAAGAACAGTTTCAGGTTAAGAACGGACCTCCGGAACGAATTAAGTACGTAACCAGAGGTACCACTGTAATAATGATGATGAGGACGATGATGATGTTGCACTGAATTTTGTGCGTCGTAATGAAGTTGGCTTTAGTACAGTGAGAATGGACAACCATTTGCTTGCTTGTGGACTTACCCCTTCAGAAAACTAAAGTTGGGGGGGGGGAGGGACTGCTCATGCAATGAAGGTTTCCCACCTTCTTCCCTCCACTGTAGCCCCTTGCAGACTCTGAAAAGCTTCTCAAAGGAGGATCAGAGGATCGGGAGTTTCTCCTGAACAGTATGGAGGGGGGCAAGGGGGTACGGAGTGGCAAAGGAAATTGCCAAATATCAGGTGCAGCTACAGGAATGGGTCTACTCAGCTGACTGCAGTGTGCATACAACCCTCCTTGAGGATTATTATTATTTATTGAATTTATATACCGCCCTATACCCAGAGGTCTCAAAACATAAAGCCCATAGGGTGGGGAGGCGGAGCCACACATACTGCCACGTATACAACTAATGGATACACGAATAGGGGTACTAACAGTTTGGCTACATTTCTTACTGGGAAGATATTTGAAATCTCCACCTGGTTTCAGTTTGTAGCCCAAAAGGTGTGCCTCAGAACATATACCAGCACTTGCTAAGTTTATCCACAGTTACTGTTGTGCTTCCATTGTAAAGAAAGAGCTACTAAGTTGTACAGAGCCATTCAAAGGTGACCTCGCTCCAATGGGAGATGAGCCTAGATTTTTGCAGCTCAATTTTTTTGCTTCCCTTTCCATGACCATACCTCTGCACTGTGGGCAGAAATAATCTGAGTAGTAACCGGTTCAAGACCTTCACTTGCACGGCAGTTGGTAGGCATTAACCAAGGCAGTTGAGCTGTTCTGTGATGTCACAATAAGAGGCTAGAGGTCTAGTGTGCCATAGAGCTAGTCCTCTACGGTTGCAGAGAGAGATGCATTTCTTGTTGATCCTTTTGCAGATTACAGTGGTACCTCGGGTTACATACACTTCAAGTTACATACACTTCAGGTTACAGACTCTGTTAACCCAGAAATAGTACCTCGGGTTAAGAACTTTGCTTCAGGATGAGAACAGAAATTGTGCTCCGGTGGCGTGGCAGCAGCAGGAGGCCCCATTAGCTAAAGTGGTGCTTCAGGTTAAGAACAGTTTCAGGTTAAGAACGGACCTCCGGAACGAATCAAGTACTTAACCCGAGGTACCACTGTACTTCAGTGAAGGTCATTCCGAAGGAAATGTAGATGGTGATCAACAGGCCCCTATAAACTGCAATTCGCAGTGCAAAATGCCAGTAGGATAGACACTGCTGAATTCTGACCAAAACACCATGTGGATGCAGTCTACCATGAAATGTGGGGTAAACTTTACCAAATTTCATACATCCTTGCTTTGTATATAATCTGAGAAAGGGAGCAGGTGGCGCTGTGGTCTAAAACACTGAGCCTCTTGGGCTTGTTGATCAGAAGGTTGGCGGTTCGAATCCCCGTGATGGAGTGAGCTCCTGTTGCTCTCTCCCAGTTCCTGCCAGCCTAGCAGTTCCAAAGCATGCCAGTGCAAGTAGATAAATAGGTACCTCTGCAGTGGGAAGATAAACAGTGTTTCCGTGTGTTCTGGTTTCCATCATGGTGTTCCATTGCACCAGAAGCGGTTTAGTCATGCTGCCCACATGACCCGGAAAGCTGTCTGTGGACAAACACCTGCTTCCTTGGCTTGAAAAGCAAGATGAGCGCCGCACCCCATAGTCACCTTTGACTGGACTTAAACGTCCAGGGGTCCTTTATCTTTATAATGTGAGAAGTTGCAGCCTAGAAAAAAATGTTTGTTTTCTGAATCCAAAACAAAGTTCTTTTTCATAACCATTCAGTGAATACATATGGTTTGGGAATTAACTGTGGCAGGATGTTCTGGTGGCCGATGACGGAAGACCAGTTCACACCTTTATTCCTGAGGTCAAAGCCAGCAGGGTGACGAATCATTTTCACATGGAGAGCTGTTTGTGTGCACACAGCATGCAATCACACGAGAAGAGCAAGCTGATGCCACAGAGACCATTTTAAATACTGCTTTCTCGCTGACCTAGAATTTCTCTGCTGGGCTGTTCCACACAAAACAAAATGCTCATAACATGAAAATGAACTGGTAAAATCACATCTCTCTTTAGAGACTACACCTGAATCTTCATTTTATGGATTCTGAGATTAACCGCAAAGGATATAGCAATGATGTCCTGCTTGCAGCTGGTCCCTGTCAGAAGTGGAGTGCTTAGCCTGTGCTAAATGGCCACAGGCCTGACTTGGAATTCTACTCAGTATTAATCCAGAGTAGATTCTAATGTATAGTTTGCAGAGTAACAACTTAAACATGCCGCAGGAGTCCCCAAAAATAGACCAGAGGCAATTGTATTTCATCCAGCAGAGCTTTACTGATACTGAAAACAAATGAGCATAACGGTCACAGACACAATACATTCAGGATTGACACTGTCCATAAGAAATCCAGTTGCAGCAGAGTTCACTTAAACTTACAATAACTTATAATAAGACTAAACTACTAAGCATACTATGTACAGTGGTACCTCGGGTTAAGTACTTAATTCGTTCCGGAGGTCTGTTCTTAACCTGAAACTGTTCTTAACCTGAAGCACCACTTTAGCTAATGGGGCCTCCTGCTGCCGCCGCGCCGCCGGAGCATGATTTCTGTTCTCATCTTGAAGCAAAGTTCTTAACCTGAAGCACTATTTCTGGGTTAGCGGAGTCTGTAACCTGAAGCGTATGTAACCTGAAGCGTATGTACCACTGTACATACCCGAGGTACCACTGTACAGAACACCAAACCAGAAGGAAAAGAGATAGAAAGAGAAAATGAAACCCAGACTCCTTCTGACCTTACTTTTATAGTCAGCTTGACCTTGACAAAAGAGATAAGAGAACCAGTTTAAACTCGCTGTACTCAGCTTCTCTGAAGGAATAACCCAAACATCATGAAACTTCCGCTTGTTTCTTTCACACAAAGAAGCTTCCAGAACCCTCTTGAATTAAGTAGAATAGGAAAGATACACATCAGATCAATACTTTCTGCACTAAGAACTGCAAACTGACAATTATCACCATCACTACCAAACTAATATTCCAGGACATGTTACAACCATTAAAACACAATATTAAAAGCAGTTTAAAGAAACTTACCATCACAGAAATAAGATGGATCCTCAAAATATAGCATTTCTTAGATTATGTCTACACTGAAGACTCATATTGGGTCCGTACTGGATTAATTCTCTCAGACTCTGGGAAATGTAGCTTGGATGAGAATGTTGAACATTCTCAGCCACCCTAACTTTCCGTCACAGAATTCAAGCTCTTGGGGAAGAGGGATAATTATTAAACCATGTGTCTAGGTGTAGAGATGCCCTGGAGAAGTAAGAGCTTTTTCTGAACTGCCTTCATATTGCACTTTGAAAACAAACATAGAGAATAGCTGTAAAACCCTGAAAATGCATGCAAAATACATAGAGTTCATGTTACTCCAGTGGTGTTGGAGCTGAACCGGTGTCACCACTTCCTACTCTGGAAGATGATGGCAGGGACCCAGGTAAGATATTGATGGGCCGAAGCCTTTCTTTTAGGAATTCTAGGTGCCGAAATCCCAATGGAGCAGAAAGGATTATTTATGTACGCGACCTGCGGATGTTATTGGCCCAGAGATGGAAAGAAGATAAAGTCCCTACCAGAGAAGAATGGCAGATTAAGTTGATGGATTATGCCGAAATGGCAAAAATGACTGGAAGTATCAGAAATCGGGAAGACCAAAAATTTAATAAGGAATGGGAAAAATTTATAATTTTTCCTAAAAATCATTGTAAACAGTTTAAAATGTTAGTGGGATTGGAACACTTGTAGTTTAATGGTGAATTTTGGATAGAATGGAGATGTAAAAGATTTGGATTATTATAAAAGATGCAGGAGGAAATGACTAACAATAGGACCCACGAAAGGAAGTCCAGGAGATTCTTCGGAATCTTGTTTTTATGATGTAGGTTGGATATGTGATTGTAAAACTTTAATCTGAAAAACCAAAAAAATAATTTATTTATTTTTTAAGAAAAAAAGATATTGATGGTCCCTGTTGGAGTGTACAGGATCTGATAGATACCCTGGGTGCTGGGTGCTGATGCCAAACCTGGCTGAGCTTTTGGTTTACTTTGAGGGGGAAAATACCGTATTTTTTGCTCTATAAGACTCCCTTTTTCCCTCCTAAAAAGTAAGGGGAAATGTGTGTGTGTCTTATGGAGCGAATGCAGGCTGCGCAACTATCCCAGGAGCCAGAACAGCAAGAAGGATCGCTGCTTTCGCTGCGCAGTGATCCCTCTTGCTGTTCTGGCTTCTGGGATTCAGAATATTTTTTTCTTGTCTTCCTCCTCCAAAAACTAGGTGCGTCTTATGGTCTGGTGCGTCTTATGGAGCGAAAAATACGGTACACATGGGAAAGATTGGGAGCAGAAAACCATATGCTGAATGTTCACTTTCTCCTACGAGAAACTGGATGCAGAAAGGCATTACTACGCATACTGAATGTCTATGCAAACCATGCTCCTATTTGAAGACCCATCACATTTCCATATCATTTTGAAGGCCATAAGCTGGCAGTACAGCAATACTCTGTGGGACATCAGTGCTAGAGACAGTCAGTACAGTGTCTGACCTGCCAGGACTGATTGTCTTATATAGCTGCCAGCAGATGAGAGCAAAGTGTAAAAACATATCCACTGCTCAGAAAGAACATTGTCTTTTTTTGATAACCCATCGCCAGCATCCATTAATCACGTACAGTCCGTTTCGAAATACCAGCAACATCTGGGAGAGTGGAGATGCTATGTACTGATTTATATTCGGGAGATAGGAGAGCGGCAGCTTGATTTAAGGAAAACAATATACTTTAATGATTTCAAAGCTAAGCATTCTAGCAAACATTGCATCCCCTATCAAGAGAAGAGATGGCACTTCAGACATAAGACTGGCTGTGAGGTGGAGTGAAGTGACCTGATTTTATAAGAGTATATATATATTTAAAGTAGACGAATAAATGAGCAAATTAAGTTAATTTGGATATGCAGAAAATATTTAAAAAATAAATTTAAGGAACCGCAGAAAGAGGGGGAAAGAAGTCAAGTTTTGAAATGTTAAAATGATTATAAAGTTATTGAAATGTATAAAAATGAAAATCATAAATAAAACAATACAAATAAATAAAGTGACCTGATTTAGATGGACCCCTGAGTAGGGTGGAGAAGTAATTGAAGGTGGCAATTGATACATGGAAGGAGCAGCAATAAGGATGGCTGAATCTACCCATTTTATTTTTTCTCCATTTCTCATTTTTCCAGTCTTCATTTAGTCTCATTTCTGCCTCAAGTTACAGCCTTTTTTTCTATTAAAAAAAGTCTGCATGAAAATGTGTTTGCATTTGCTGTGCATTTCCCTCAATGTAGCAGGTTTTGCAAGCAATTTCTCCTAATACAACACATTTGAGTATGCTAGTCTTGCTGCTGTTTGTAATTCTTGCACATATCCTTATACAGTGGTACCTCAGGCTACAGACGCTTCAGGTTACAGACGCTTCAAGGTTACAGACTCTGATAAACCCAGAAATAGTACCTCAGGTTAAGAAATTTGCTTCAGGATGAGAACAGAAATCGTGCAGCGGTGGCGCAGTGGCAGTGGGAGGCCCCATTAGCTAAAATGGTGCTTCAGGTTAAGAACAGTTTCAGGTTAAGAACGGACCTCCAGAACAAATTAAGTTCTTAACCGAGGTACCACTGTATATGCTTCTTTCTTTTTCCTTTTGGTTGGTAAACATTGTTGGGTTGGAGAACTGGATCACAACATTTGGAG